TAAATGATTTTAAGCGATGTTCTCCAGAGTTCTAGTGAGAAGCTGTGACTGGTGAATTTCAACCGTATTAAGGAGAAATAAATATCGTATCAAGTGGTGGTAAAACCTACCACAGTTAAATGTATACTTTTATATATGATACTGAATAAGATATTAAGTGATATTCGTTGAATCTAGTGTCGATTAATAATACCACTTGACTAATTTAAATTAAAAAAAAGTGCACAAGTTGTCTGTATATTTATAAGTCTACTAAATAGAATGATGCTTAACAAAAAGTTTAGGGGTGTGAAAGTTTGTTTCAATGTACTCTTCTATCAATTAACCTTAGACTAATCAAGAACATTATTCCAATCGTTCAATGAAGAGCCTACTTTCTGATCAATAAGCGGTGGTTTTTCACTAACTCCAACTATTTCGAACAGAGGGTTTGAGCTGTTTTTGGGCGTCAGATTGTTCGTAAAAGTAACCACAGTTAAGTCTTTTGACAGCGGGAAAAACAAAGAATCTATTCTTTGTTAATTTCTGAAACTGTTGTACTTAACTTCGTGTGTAAAACTCACGTGTCTGCATTAAGTGTCGCCACGTGCTAAATTTAAAATCCTGACCTCCATTGCACTCGTTGATAGCTGTTTAGTCATCATGGATATTAACTTTTGGTTCACTAAATAATTCACTTATTCTGCATACTTTGTGTCTGTGATCGCATGACCTCAATTTACAGTCTTATTTAATAAGTTCAATGTAACGAAATAAGTATTCAAACTAAGTAACTAACAATGTACTATTCATTTTGATAAAGTCACACTTCGTCAGTTGTTACCTAATATCAATGTTTCTCTAAAAATTTGATTAGTCTTAATTTTTCTAGGCGTTTGAAAAAATAGCAAACGATTTGTCTAGGTATGTTTCTTTATAGCTTCTTAAAATCATCAAGTTTTATCCATATTCAAATTATCTGTGACAAACATCATAGGTGTGCCGTCGATCAAATGACTGTCACGATGTTTTGATCATTGGATCTAAATACTATCCATCATGTGTTTATTCGAATGATTGATTACTTGAATCCCTGAGAATATACTATGTACATGTATGTATTTGTTCATCGATCAATGCACTGAAATATTGTATTGAGTGCTGCATGTCGTTTTGTATAGAACTATGTGCATACAATATAATTCCAGTTAGGTTATCTGAAATATGCAATGATAATGATAGAGGTTGAAATGGGATTTTAATTGCACCACGATTTGAACAAGTAACCTTTGGGCTGTTTGAAGTATATATTTATGTACTAATGATTGATCGTTATTAAGTAAATTTCGTAATTATATACTAAAAAACCAACTGTCTTAATAATTGTGCATAAATAAAGCATACTTTAGGTTGCTAGGACTTTTCCAATCATTAATTAGTAAAGTATATGTAGAGGATTAATTCCTCTATATCTGACTCCAATAGATAAATAATATCCCGTTAACTGATTATTTACTGCAGGCTAAATCTCCTAGTAGAATTACGGGTTTACTCGAGATTATTCAAAAGCCTGAACACCAGTTATAGAGATAGTTTATTGTTGAAGCTCGGTAAAAATACGCAAGCGTACAGATAACAAGCCCACCGGGAAACAAGTGTGTGTGTGTGTTAAATATCCATGTATACTTTTGATTGTTAATGGATTGTGGATAAATTATTGATTGTCTTCGTTCACAACCAATGAGAGAACAGAATAAGGGTCGATGTGCAGACACACGCGCTCAATCAGACTCACACATAAATTTACAAAGTGGATTAATGTTAAGATTACAGAGAGCACACAAATAATACAGTAGTTGAATGGGCTTGCTACATGAGCTCCCATCCAAAACGTAGATGTTGTTTTTTTATAAAAAAGATTTTTTTAAAAATAACATCTATGTTCGACAAAGCGATAAAAAAATGTTTATAAAATAAATGTACAATCCGATGCGATGAGTAAGCGGTAAGTTGTAATAATAGTTTGTATGTGTTGAAACGTTTTATGTATGTGTATAAGGTTTGCATGAAGTTAAAAGTAAGTATAATGAAGATCCGTGGGGCCAATAAAGAACAGTTAATAAAAATAGAGAACAATTTGTAGCATTTGGGCTAGATAAGTATGGTTGTAGCTACGTACCTATCTGGAAAGTGTACTCTCCTACCTGATCTTGTAGTAGTTTCTGTAGCCGTTGTACTTCCGTATGAAGTATTGGTTGTTACAGGTGGTTTGTGTAGTGCTTGCTTTGATGCGGATTTGGATGGTTTTGTTGTCTGCTTCTTGATGTGCTCTGAAAACGCTGGTTTTATTCTGTCGATGCTAACAGTAGCATGTTTACCAGCTTTTTCTACTGTAATATATTGGCAGTTTATATCATGGATTGAGAAGGTATTAATGTTTAATCTAGATAGCGCATCTGCTGCATCGTTTTCCATGCCTTTTATATAGCGTATGTCAGCTGCAAATTGCGAAATGAATTCTAGTTGACGAATTTCGCGTGGACTGTATTTATCATGATTTTGCATCAAGGCTTTAGTTAGCGGCTTGTGATCAGTAAATATTGTAAAAGGATTGCCTTCTAACATATACCGGAAGTGTTTGATTGCTAAATGGACGGTTAACAGTTCTCTACCGAATGTGCTATATTTTGTTTGCGTCGCATTTAGCTTTTTTGAGGTTTGACCAACTTCTCATGGAACTTCATCATAGCTGATGTTTTTGTTCCCATAATCGGTGTTGATTTCCTGCAATCACATAAAATACTCGTAGACGTTAGAAACCGGAAACTGGAACTTGCCGATCACAGCAGCGTAATCAAAGGAATTCTATCTAATGAGAAGTCTATACATTTATTGGTCAAACCTCATCGCGAGAATGACAAGTAAGTCAATTTACTTAAGCAGTTCCCAGACTTATTAAGACCGTGTTTCAAACGTGACAAACTGACACATACTGTCATACATCACATTACAACAGAGGGACCACCAGTATTTACACGTCCAAGACGCCTTGATCCCTCTCGTAAACAATGAGTTCAACAAAATGATAGAGTTGGGTATCGTACGCCCCTCCAATAGTCCATGGGCATCACCGCTACATATGGTACATAAGAAAAACTCTTCTGAGGTTAGACCTTGTGGCGATTACAGAGCTCTTAACAGCAGGACTATACCAGATAGATATCCGCCTCCACACTTACATTACTTTACTCACAGTCTATCTGATGCAACGATTTTTTCAAAAGTTGACCTCGTCCGTGCCTACCATCACATCCCAATTCACCCGGATGATGTTCCTAAAATAGCCATCACTACCCCATTTGGGTTATACGAATTCGTTCGCATGCCTTTTGGATTAAAGAATGCTGCACAAAGCTTCCAACGTCTTATTGATCAAGTCGTACGTGGCTTGCCGTTTGTATATGCTTATATAGATGACTTATCGCCAGCAAAGACGAAAACGAACATCTACCTCATCTAAAATTGCTTTTTAAGAAGCTAAACGAGTATGAGTTAACAGTCAATCTCGACAAGTGCGAGTTTGGAAGCAACCCCTCACCTTTTTAGGCCACTTACTCGACAATCAAGGTTGGATGCCAGCTCAGTGGTCTATCGGTTAAGGGCTTCGACTCGAGACTGGTAGGTCCTGGGTTCGAACCTCGCGAGAGCGGGTTCGTGGATGCGCACTGCTGAGGAGTCCCATAATGGGACGAAACAGCCGTCCAGTGTTTCCATGGTGGTCTAGCTTCAATTGACTCACACTTTCAACTATAATAAATACTAAATCTCCACAAAATCCCTTCTATAATTAAAAATGTAAATTGTTTCCTCTTAATTCTGATTTGTCGAGCTTTGAGTGAAGTATGATATCTAAAGGATATGAGACAGTAGAGAAAAACGTAATTTATGTCTAAACACTAGACATTCACAATTTGTTTTACAAGGAACTTGTATTAAGTAACATGTGATTATTAGTTTTCTTTCGACCAATTCTTTTGTTGACTGACAAGTAGGCAATTAAATATAATTAGGTAAGTTTTATGAACATGGCAGAATGCTTACAAATTCTCATGAACTAATTCATTAATGATAGTTATCACGCTGTTTTAGATCATTACATGGCTTATAAAATGTTAATAAAGAATAACGATCTCTGCATGTGATAATCTATTCTTATGTTTCTCTTCTTTCATTTAGTCACTAATCATCGTATTATCTTAACTTATATTTGACTCAGTACAGCTTATCGAACTGCAATCTAGTTGTAATCTCTTCCCGTAACGATGTTAAATGGTACATGGAAATGCTGTGAGTTTTGCTGGAATTGTTATTACTAAATGTGAATACAGTTCACATTATGCAAGATAATATTAAATTGATTTATATATCCCATGAGTAACTAGGATATGCTTACTGTCAAATACTTGTGGATGTGTTACCTTATAAATCAATATTGTTACTGAAATATGTGATCGGTTAACAGTTTTAATGTCTTATATGCTCACCTGTAGTTTAAGGTCATTTGAATTGTATGTAACCAATATTGTCGATATCACTGAGCTTTATCGTACTATATCCAAGTACTCGGGAGTATTAGGACTCAGTCTGTATGACTTTACCATATCTTTGGGCGAAAATGTTAGCAGTAATAATTTAATATAGTCCTGTTGATAGTATCTCCTAGTCGTAATCATCATGTTATTTAATCCGGATGAGATTAATCGTCTGTGCGTACCATACAAATAGATGATGTGGTTGCCATGGTTCCAAGTTGTAATGAAGTAGTCAAAAGTGTATCCACTTGAATACTATTTTTAATTATTAAGATGGTAATGATCTTTAACTTAAGCTGGTTTTAATGGTTGTGTTTTCTAAGCTCCATGGAGAGATTATCACAATGTTTATTGCTTTTTGTAGTACGTTTTTATTGAGTCTTCAATTTGTTAATCCATATGTAGTAAAACACGTTTCAAATAATCAATTTTTTTACGAATTTACTGGTAAAGTTGACAAACTGTCTTAACTTTCAGTTTACATATGTTGGCAGATAATAACATGAAGTTGAGAGACTGGGGGTTAGGTGATGAGCAAATGTAGATTTCTTTTAACTAATTCGCGTCCAAATTTAGTCTCAATGAACAAATAATTTCGAAAACTTATTGGCAATAAGAATATTGGTGAAAAGGAAGAGTCAATTAACTAATTTCATAAAACTGAGGAGAATAGTTATCCCACTAATCCATGATTCGTCTAAATCTACTATAATAAGGGCATAGCGATCATATGGTTTTCATAATTCAGATCTCACCGTTCTCCCGATTTTTAGGTATATCTAGGTTAGTCTACCGTAAAATTTCAAAGCAGTTGATTCCCAATTTAGAACTACAAATATTAGCTGTAAATGAACATATTTTACTCTCTTTAGAATGGACACAAAATCTATCAATATTTATTTTCATTTCATAAAAGGTGTATTAGTTATTGTAGCTGACTTCTGACCACTAAATCACAGATTATGCTTTCACTTTATTTACTTTAGCTTAAGCAACCAGATATCAATCACGGGAAATTTCAGCCACCAACCAGTATATACCCATTACCGAGTTACATTACTTTAAATATTTTGAAATTTCGGATGTAAAAAAGCCGCATAATTTTGATTAATGTTACAAAAAATGTGATCTAGGTGACAAAAACGTTTAGGCTGGCTAAGTAGAGCTATCAAATATGAGCTATAGACATCAAACGTCAAGCAGTAAACTAGTGGTTAAAGCACTTAGATTTCAGGCAAAATATTAGCCACTTCAGTCTGAGCGATTAAGTCGTGTCAGCAAACCTTGAAAAGTGTCTTGAATTAGCTCCACAGAGAGATACAGTAAACAAGTAAAATCCACATCTCATTTGTAGCATAGGCTAGACATCCGTCTTCCATTCAAAGAATACTGAGCAACAATCTGTCGTTTTAATTTATGGGTGTGAAACATGGCCTTTAAAACAGATGACCTCAGGTCGGTACTTGATAATGGATGGCTCTAAAGTATTTTCATGTATGTTGGTGTCACTAAGTGAGCAACACTGCAGTAGAGTAAGGATGAGAAACTGAATGGTGAGGTAGTGAATATTCATCGACTGGAGCGGGTTGGGCATGTATCGCGTAGTCTCAGACACCACCTTTATAGACGACGTTAGCTGAAAGTTCGAAGCAGCCAAAACACACGTCATCACCTCATGAAGTCACTGACTGTTAGATTGGGCCGTGTAGGTGCAAACTAGCTGGAGTCTGGGTAGTTATCATTGACAGTGGTTGAAAACGTCGGATAACATGGCTCAGAATTGATAATTATGGTACAGATACATTTACTTTGTATTCTTCTCGATCCTGAGTTTCGAAATTATCCCATACTTTTCATTCCAACAATTCATTTCTGGAGTCACATGTTATATATAGTGTCTTTCTTATTACCACTAATACTATTACTACTCTCGGATCTGCGCTGACTATTTCATCCAGATAATCTGATATGGCAACTCGAACGAATAAACGCATACGCCAGGTTTTACATTTGATTTAACTGACTGACTTATAGTTTGATGAAAGATGTTACTTCTGCAACTGATGTAACAAACTACGACTCACTTCAATATTTCCGAAAAGAGTCCTTCTTAAAGCAAGTTTTAAGTTGAAAAAAACTTTAATTCCAATAATTGTATCATATATTAATAACCTAGTCAGTTACCGAATTGGCAAGTGATTAGTCAGAGAAATTAAATCATTACACATATTACACCAACCATATACACAGATTTCTGACAGAAAAGCAAAACCCGACAGGCATTGTTGAAAAACTTGCAAAGAGTGAGAAGGTAGACAGGTCTATAAACAAAGAAAATTCAATCTCCAAGAAAAAAATAGTTTCCACTCCTTTTCTGATCAACATCTTTGACCGAATTCAATTTGTTGATTCTTGGTCTAGCATTGGTTGGATCACGTCGAAATGTTATATCAAGTGATTGTAAAAATTTATTCATGCCAGTAACTAAATTCTGTGGTCTATAATCAAAGTGAAAAAATATAGAAATTAGAGTACATCATGTGATAGAAATTTTGAAAAAAGTAAATCATTGTATCCCATTCTTTTCGATGGAATTGTCGAGCACTCATACAGAATTAAGTATTCAATTGATAAATACAGTTATTAATAAATCATACTGTTTAAAAAGATCATAGTCCCATTCTATATACTATCGGTTATATCTTGATACAAAAAATGAACTTCACAAAAAGGATGAAACATACATTAGTACATCTTAATGCTAACAATGAACAAGAATTGTATTCTGTTTGAGTGTGTATGTGTGTGATTACTTAACTGATTTTCGAAGTTATTCAGATATGAAGTTGGATTCGATATAAGTTGGTTTATGAACACAAATTTAAATTTGGTGCAAATATTTGGGTTGCATTGAAAGAGAAATTATTTAATAACAGTAGGTGGTGAAACATGAATTATCGTCAGAAGATAACTGTAGATTACTATTCAAGAGCTAATAATACCGAATTATATGTTAAGTCTCGTGAGTGTTCCAACAGAAATCAGTTATAAACAACATGGAATTTGGCACAGATGTACGTCACCTCAAATTGTTACACCATATTAGCAAGAGATGAAATTAACAAGATTATTAGTAAAGGAGTCGAAATAAGCATAGTTGCAATGATAATGAAGAGAAAACTTTGAGAATGTGATATAAAAAATACAGAATGAAAGAATAATGAGATTCAAAATATTGACAATAAAAAGTATATGCATCTACGCTATATCACCCGACGTCTTCAAACACTTATCGCAGTTAATGAGTGAGCTTGAATCAAATATTTTATAGTTAAGATCATGAGCCAATTGAAGCTAGACCACCGTGGAAAACCTGGAAGCACTAGTGACTGGCTCCTTGAGGTAATTCCTGGAGTTCTAGTGAGAAGCCGTGGCCAGTGGAGCTAATCCATGTCAGGTAGAGACAGGTATCTACCTCAGTACATTGGAAGTTGGTTGCGCAATTTCGTGGATTGGTTGAGGTTAGACACTAACAACGTTGGATGCCAGCTCAGTGGTCTATCGGTTAAGGGCTCTGGCTCGAGACTGGTAGGTCCTGGGTTCGAATCTCGCGAGAGCGGGTTCGTGGATGCGCACTGCTGAGGAGTCCCATAATAGGACGAAACAGCCGTTCAGGTTTTCCATGGTGGTCTAGCTTCAATTGACTAATGATCTTAACTATAAAATTACTAAATTTCCACAAAAACCCCCTCGTGTTGAATCAAATAGTTTGCACTTATCAACATGGGTCAAACTAACAGTCAATGACTATGGACTAATGGCATATATTGGTTTGTCAGAATGACTCTCTTTTAGCTTAACTCCTACACCATTTAACATTGCCGGTCGAGGTAGGTGATAGTTGAATATATAAGCGTCTTGGCTAACTCATTCGACGAAAATCTAGTCTCAAGCGCTAACCTTATCAATGGACTCGATGAGATTGTGTTAGCAAAAAACATCTAGGATGATGTAAAAATATTCTTTTTCACTTATTATTCATCATATTTAAAAGTTGAACAATTAGAGTTAGTTTGCAGACAATTTTAATGGAACGTATTTTCAACCCAAATATCTAAGCATGAGAACCTACATACTTCATTTTGGGTAACCGGGTCGTAGTACCAAATAGTCAACATTAATAATCAATGTATGGTTGCCTTAATTCCGAATACAAAATAATTGAGCATGGTAAATGATGAGTTGCAAGATACTGTGATGCATCCAACAATTTGAAGAATGAATTAATTTTGTATCATTTTCTGCCGGAGACACACATGTTAGATGCAAGCCGAAAATATTAGAATTTTCATAACTATTCTGCAGTGAAATATCATATACACTTTTATGTAATTACTAAATATTTTCTTTATGATACTTTTATATTGCCCAAATTGTATGCTTTTATTTAAATCAGTGACTGATAATATGTCCCTTTTACAGTTCATGAATTACAGTTAATTAATTATATGCCTATCAATCAGTTTTATATCACAAATAATCTAGTTATTTAAAGCGGGTTGTGGTCTTATGTAATTGATGTATGTTATCATGTGAGTTTTTGAGTCATAAAATATACAGAGTAGATCGGTTAACTTTTATTGTGTTTTGATTGGGCAAGTTTAGAGCCAGAATGAACCTGTGTGGGCTAATAATCAGTGTCAGCACAATTAGTGGACATATTGGTTAAAAAAGGTTATTTGATGTTATTTGATGTACGCGGACTTGATAGTTCAATAATCCAATTAAGTGGATATATAAACGTTGAATTCGTAACATCTCATGCAGAAATATCTTTAGTGATAAACAAACTAACAACCACCGAATATACTCACGTTGTTGCTGTAGCCTTAACACCAGGCTGACCGTCAAATACAACAACTCGATCGGCTAAATATGTTGCCATAATAAAATCATGTTCTACGATAAAAGCTGTCTTTTTAGCATGCAGTATAAATCGTTTAATAACTTTTGCGGCATGTAAACGCTGTTCTGAATCTAAATAAGCTGACGGCTCATCAATTAAATAGACATCAGCTGGTTGGCCAAGGCACAATGTAATAGCCAATCGTTGTAATTCACCACCAGATAAGTTCATTACCTTGAAAAGAAACAAAACAAACGTATGGTATAAAAAGACTTTAGGTAATCCGCACAGGATGTACAGATATCTAAAGAGAGCGATCAATTGCAATCATAAACACCAATGGGGAGATTCAAACACCCAACGCAAACGAATTAAAATTCACCTCATTCCACAAGCCAGTGGCTATCTGGACTCAGTAGCTAAGTAGATAACGTGTTGGTGTTTCATACTACAGGTACTGGGATCAAATCACGAAGTAAACATCATCTCCAGAACGCAAGTATATCCAGTTGGTGCGTTTCAAACAGGACGAAACGTGCGTCCTGAATTCCACTGCTGAACACAACCCGTCACTGTTCAAATAAGATTAGTTGATTTGTAGACAATAAACTTGTGAAAACAATGGATAAATCTTAACTTATTTACACAGCGTTGTCCTTTGTTTAAGGAAAGCCTTTGATTAAGTCTTACATGATCATAGGATAAAGAGTACGTAATTCGGAGGATTTCAAGAATAAAATGGGACATTATAATATTTATTTATTGAAGGTGATTGATTTTGAATGACTATTTTAAGCAAAAAATGAGACAGTATTGTGACAATGTAAAAACTTAGTTGATATAAATCATCTATCGACTAAAAAGATCTTATTGTTTATCACAGATTACTAATTAATGAGAGGATATTATTTCTTCTTACTGTTATATCCCGGCGAGAATTATGAAAGGTAACTTTTGAGAACTATTTCTGGACAAATATTGTACGTACATTCTTACTATCCAGTAACCAAATTATGTTTATCTAGACTCCTCTTATTATAAGCTTTATTTGGACCTATAAACTATTATTATACGGTTTACAGTTCTTGAGTTATGCCCAGTATATTAATTACAGTCTCCCACATTTACAGCCACTTTTGCCTAAATCTTGTACAAATGTTAATTTCTATTTTATGGTACGATGTATTCTGTTTGGTTTGTATATAAATCAGGTATGTTTGAAATACATGATTCATATCGCGGAGACTGAGATTGGTGTTCTGGACTTAACAGGCACGGGCTACGCTTGAAGGACCGATAAGGACTCTACACTGATCGTACGTGTTTTATGCATCATTGGACCGGTCGATAATTTTTGTTCTCTAATTGGCGGTATCATTATGTCACATATTGATAAGGGCACAGGGCTATAAGTTACAACACATTACAGAATGAATTCAGTTAGAGAACTATTAAAAACCGGGAGGCAATAAATGACTGTCTCGTCTTTGATTGAGACCTCAAGCAGTTTGTATCTATGGTCTGACCTGGGGTTGAACCTGAGACATTCAGCACTTGCAGCGAGCTTTTAAACTTTTGACCACCTAGCTGAGAATTAATAGTTTACAATTGATAACGTTACTTAATTCGTGATACTAGACTACGGCACCATCATCCTTTGTTAACGAATATATTTACCTTACCCTTAATACGGTTGAAATTTACCGATCACAGTTTCTCACTATAACTCTGGAAATCACCGCTCAAAATCATTTGCATGACGATTTTTAACATTAGTGGTTGTGGAGGTTGTTGAGTTTGTAGTTCTACATCCCTATTTGACTGTTGTTGTTGTTTCCTGCTTCTCTAGTGGTTCTATAGAACCAGGGATGAGATGCAAAGAATGAATCAATTTAGTAACTTTAAACTTACAAATCATCGAAACAAATGATTTACTAGTTACTTGACATTTGATATTGGCCTCGTTGGTCTTAACAAATCTAACTAAATGAAGGGGCACGGCTAAGGATTCATGCTATTTCTTGGTACGTAAAAGTTAATATGAAAAGATTCCTATATCCATTTGATAGTGTAATACTCCCCCACCTCTGGACGTAAACAAACATACCATTTGTTTCACTAATGCCGTAGTAAGCACAACGTAGTAAGTACAATGTTTTGAAAAACTTGGTATTAGTGTAGTCAAACTCTGTCACATAAAGTTGCCTATTCTACTACTTTGTTATCTCTATGAAAAAGAAAATACAATCGGTACATATAAGTATATCATGTTGAAACACAATATAAAAACTTATCGCTTACTTGCTGATCATAGAGTCGTTCCATTTGTAATGGTTTAAGCACATCTGTTGAAAATTGTGGATGTGTAAACGAATCACGAATTTTCTCCAAAAGTAGATTTTGAACTGTTTTCTCTGATTTTGGACTAATCTTTTGTGGTTTATATGATACATGTAAAACTGGACACTTTTGATCACCATCAGGTTTCAGATTGCCAGCCAGCATACGAATAAAAGTAGTTTTACCAGTACCATTCTCACCTAGCATTACAATAATTTCAGAATCAGTAAACGATCCAGCCTCCACTGTCAAATCGAATGAACCCAAATTTTTATACATAGTTGGATAATCGTAACGAGCTGTACGTTTTAATTCTTCTTCGTTACCGGTTTCGGACACCTTAAAAATTCAAAAAATAACACAGATTATTTCAAAATATATCAAATAGAGAAATAATGCACACCTAAATAACGGTAATTTTCTGATGTGACATATTGCAACACTATTTACAAGTAGTAAACTTTTTGTGTAAAATATGTTTGAACACCTGCAGTAGATTACACTATATGTTCACAAACATTACTATGCACCGTAAGTTTGAGATATCTTATTAATTGCCATTATAATCCGATAAATTTGTGTTATAATTTGCATCGCGTGAGTGATGCTGAATCTTGAAACCAAGAAATGGAAACGGTCGACGAAAAATGGCAACCCTATGAGATTGGCTTACAGCTTTTCCTACCGCAGAAATAGTGACATAATTGTATGGAACGCTTTAAATTACACAGGAACTCTCTAATTAACTAACTAATAAAACAATGATTTAAAATGTGGCCAGAAGCTACAATTTAAACACACTGGATGTAACAACGTTGGATACCATCCAGTTGTTCTAACAAAAACGAACATTCTCTCGACACCAGTTGCAAATTTATACTAAAATTAATCTGACACACTAAACATGTAGTCCGCAATATGAGACTTAGTAGTGTTACATCCTAGCGAAGATCAAGTGATGAGTAACTTGTGAGAACTACTAATTCATTAATAGTATACATATAGTATGAGACGGTTTATGATATGAGATGAAAGCAGCAGCTGCATCTGGTAACTGCCGGAAGCTCTTCCAACTCATCCGAGCCACTGGCAGCAAGAAGTCTGGTGTGAGTGAAACAATCTGTGAGGATGACGGGATGCAAATCACTAACATCTCTCGACGTCTTGGACGATGGGCGGAATTTTTTGAAGGGCAGTTCAACTGGCCTGTTGCTCCGGCAACATCGACCAGTTTGTCCTGCTCCCCATGGCCGGTGACGACTGATCCACCAAACGAGACGGAAGTTCGCAAGGAACTCCAACTCTTGAAACGCTACAAATCATCGGGCCCAGATGACTTACCTCCGGCTCGTTTTAAAGATGGTGGTGACTTTCTGACTAAGGAACTGACTGTGTTGTTTGCAAAGGTTTGGGAGCAAGAAAGTGTTCCAACATCATGGAATGAGTCGATAGTCGTCCCTATCTTTAAAAAGGGTTCATGTTGTTCCTGTAACAACTATTGGGGGATAAGTCTACTTCCGATTGCGTCCAAACTATTGACTTCTGTCATTCTTCGTAGGTTGTTTAAAACCCGAGAACGATTGACTCGCGAGGAGCAGGCTGGCATTCGTTCTGGTCGAGGATCCATTGATCACACCTTCACCCTCCGCCTAATGTTAAAACACTGTCATACTTATCGCAGGCCAACAATCGTAGTGTTTCTTGATATCAGGGCTGCCTTCAATTCGTTGGACAGGACTGTTCTCTGGGACTGTCTATTGAAGAAGGGTGTGCCTGAGAAGTTTATTAACATCTTAAAGGCCCTGTATACGAACACCTCAGGCAGAGTGAGGGCATACAACCACCTTTCTCCCTTGTTCCATTCGAGCAGCGGGGTTAGGCAGGGTTGCCTAATCTCACCATTCCTCTTCAACTTTGCCATCGACGACATCCTGGAAACAGCTCTGATGGATGTAAGTAATGGCGGTGTGGACCTGCTGCCCGGATAACGACTTCTCGACCTTGAGTATGCGGATGATATTGTCTTACTTTGCGATGATACCCAAGGTATGCAATCCGCACTTAATCAGTTGGCAATCAGTGTCCTCAGGTACGGCATGTGCTTTGCACCCTCCAAGTGCAAAGTACTCCTACAACACTGACAGGATTCTAATCATGTACTCACCCTGGATGGTGAGCAGATTGAAGTAGTTGAGAAGTTCGTGTATCTAGGTAGCTACATAAGTGCTGGTGGTGGCGTGAGTGATGAGATCGACGCACGTATAATGAAAGCCAGAGCGGCTTATGCCAATCTGGGCCATCTTTGGCGTCTTCGTGATGTTAGTCTGGCTGTAAAAGGTCGGATCTACAACGCGTTGGTGAGAGAAGTTTTGCTCTATGCTTGTGAAACCTGACCTCTCCGAGTTGAGGATGTTAGACGACTCTCTGTGTTCGATCATCTTTGTCTCCGAAGGATTGCTGACATTCAGTGACAACACCATGTTAGTAATGCAGAGGTTCGGCATCGTGTGTTCGAGTGCAGGGACGATAATTCAATTGGCGTCACCATCTTGAAACACCGACTTCGGTGGCTTAGACATGTTCTACGAATGTCGTCCCAGAGGCTCCCACGTCGTGCATTACTTGCCGACGCTAGGACTGGTTGGAAAAAGCGGAGAGGTGGTCAGTGTATGACATGGTGTCGTGGTATGAAAGAAAGTTGCAAAGGGCTAGCTTCTGTTGGTTCTTCACGATTCCCTGGCTGGAGTCCGAGAGATGGTGCAACACAGTGGTTAGAGACGTTATCAGATATGGCTCAGAATAAAAGCCAGTGGCGAGCCTGCTGTAACCTTCTTTTACTTTCTTCATAAAGAGTGGCTATAACTTTCCTAACTGAGAGAGCTCTTCTGCTTGTACATTCAGTTCCCCCCATCATTACTCTTCTCCTTTTCTTTTTTTCCTTCTTTTATATATACGCATCTTCTTCCTTCTCCTCCCATTCTCATTATTTTGTGTGGCGCATATGTATTCGGTGCCCTTTGTACCAATATGTATATGATTAAATAAATAAAATAAACTCTTATTGTATAACTATCCAGTAACCAAATAATAAGATTAGTTGATTTGTAGACAATAAACTTGTGAAAACAATGGATAAATCTTAACTTATTTACACAGCGTTGTCCTTTGTTTAAGGAAAGCCTTTGATTAAGTCTTACATGATCATAGGATAAAGAGTACGTAATTCGGAGGATTTCAAGAATAAAATGGGACATTATAATATTTATTTATTGAAGGTGATTGATTTTGAATGACTATTTTAAGCAAAAAATGAGACAGTATTGTGACAATGTAAAAACTTAGTTGATATAAATCATCTATCGACTAAAAAGATCTTATTGTTTATCACAGATTACTAATTAATGAGAGGATATTATTTCTTCTTACTGTTATATCCCGGCGAGAATTATGAAAGGTAACTTTTGAGAACTATTTCTGGACAAATATTGTACGTACATTCTTACTATCCAGTAACCAAATTATGTTTATCTAGACTCCTCTTATTATAAGCTTTATTTGGACCTATAAACTATTATTATACGGTTTACAGTTCTTGAGTTATGCCCAGTATATTAATTACAGTCTCCCACATTTACAGCCACTTTTGCCTAAATCTTGTACAAATGTTAATTTCTATTTTATGGTACGATGTATTCTGTTTGGTTTGTATATAAATCAGGTATGTTTGAAATACATGATTCATATCGCGGAGACTGAGATTGGTGTTCTGCACATAACAGGCAGGGTTAGGGGGAAAAAGGGTCGATAAAAACACTAGGCTGCTCATACCGGTCGATACATCATTGATTAGACATAGTGCTAGAATTGTATTGGTCGTATTTCGATTGGCGAATAAGTCACGTGAGATTAAACCGGCCAAAATTCACAACAAGTAACCCATGTTCTTTACTGATCAATAATCTCTTGAAGGCATATGACAGTAGACGAGTCTGTTATATGAGTTATAGGGACTTACTCCTGACCACCTTCTGTTCGTGTTTATGACTATCAAAATCATGATCCTTTTGATTACACCAAAAACGTGAGTGCTGGGTAATGACTATAGTTTGTCTGACTGCATTTATAGTTATAACAATAAAATTTTCGGTGGGTATTTGTGTCCCTAAGTAAAACGATTAAACTCCTTAATCAGGTTCATAATTAATCAGTACGTAATGCTTAGTACATTTCGTGCCCCAGGTTACAGGATTTTCAGTGTGAAAAAGTCAGACGACAGCTGAGTCAGCAAAAGTTAAAACTATTACCGATAAGGTCACATAGGACTGAAATAAACAGAAACCAAGCATTTTTCTGTTAGTTAAGCACCATTTATTCTCTTATTCAGGTTTGTCTGCCATCAATGATCCACGTAAATGGTTGGTTGTCTTACTAATGAGCTACTATTTGTTTGTTTCTTGATATCAGTAACTATGACCAAAGTAGCTTGAATAAAATAAGAAGTGCGGTTCTGAATATTTGACTTAACAAATCAGATGAAAGTTTTTCCTACAATGGTTGACGACTAACGATTATCATAGACTTATATTTTTTAGTAGTGTATATCGAATGGCCTAAGTAAGACGTTGGTCATAGTTACCGAGTACAACGAAATCAATACTTGAAACCGGAAATAGAGAGAACCTGTTTGTGACCCGATAGTAAGTATTAGTATCGACCATAATCCAGCTTCTTAAACTTCTTGACAGAAAATACCAAAACCAGTACTGTTTATTCGATCTAATTAGAAGTGAGTGTGCATTATAACCTTTTAACATCCGTCAAGAAGGAATGTTCAAAATTAATCCACCTACATTATTACTTGACTTGATACACCTGCCATAAAAATTACTGGAATTTGAGTCAAATCAGAGCTTAAGTTATTGAGAGCGTGATCGTATTCTTAAAACCAGCTTACCACGAGTATTCTCTACAGCCCCTTTAAATGTGAGTACATTTTTTAGTGGTGATGAGGATGAACTATACCTTAGTTGAAGAATAACCATAATGAAGATACACTTTTCGGTGATGGTATCAGTTGGATTACATGGACACTCTTAAGACCTGGACGACATACATTGATAGTAAATACTAGAGATTTAATTGATCGGTGAGAAAAGTAGCTTCGGTCAGGATGCAGCCGGTAACTATGCTTCTTGGCATAGCAAGGATTCTTTAAAAGTAATTTGAATTATAATTTTGAACTATGTATTAACATCATTGAGGCGTGTAACAGTCCTAATAATGCCTAAAATAATGAGGTTAATGATTTGTTGAACACTACTGAAATGATTTTGATTCCGAAAGCTAGTTGGTTACAGTGGTAGAAAGTAAGATATGTTTTGGTCGTGACAGAAGAAATGTTTTATGCCGAAAATATCTAATAACAAAGCCAAGACCCAACCTGCATGCGCAATTACCACCATTGTATATAATTAAGATATTTTCGGGCATGAGGATGGATTCTCGAACCCCGACAAAGAAATGATATTTGAGACCCACAAACTACTTGCTTTTTTGACTACAACTAATGGTAGGTAAGGAACAAGTGAAATGAGATCGATTTTATCTAAACACTAAAGTTGTTGGCATACTTATGGAAGTGTAGTATAAGGTACTAGACAAGCATAGTTCTAGTTAATCGAATTAGTTAAGAAATATATACCGCGATTCAGAGATGATCAGATCATTAAGTGTAATATTGGTGCAGTAATCCACTAGGATTTCATAACGTTTAACAAGCACTCTTAGCACATTGATACGTTATTAACTATATGACGTCTCTCTCCATCAGCAAGGAAAGAAGTGCTGTGAGATTAATCCAAACCTATGCTTGCTTTCACATCTTGTAACTAAGTACTGAAAGTACTCCAACAGTTCGAATATGAATAGTCTTGAGTGCTGGTAAGGTGAGCGAACAATGTAGACCTTCGTATGAGCATCATGCTGGACGGAGAATGCAAATTTTTAAAATCTACCACCGCATAGATGTGTACAGAATTACATCTCACGATGAGATACATTTAATAAGCTAGCGATATTAATTAGTCACACGAGTCGATTGAAACGGACTTAAATTTAAAATAAGTTGGTGAAGGGATCAGCTAGAGATTATTGTCCTAAACTACAACGACAACGAAACGGTTTTAAAGATAAATAAAAAAGCAGCAGCCAAAGTTTAATAAAGGTTCAAATATATCATCAAACAAGATGTCTAAAACAGAAAAAAACCATACCTTGAAAACCAATGGTGTTTCTCGAAAACGCAAATTTTCCGTAGGGACCACACCATCCAAAAATATATTTATTCCTTCGCGGACGGAAAAAGGCATGGTGACTACCCCATAAGCACCTGGGACACCATAAAGACAGCATATGAAGTCAGACAAGTAATCCAAAACAGATAAATCATGCTCCACAACAATAACATAATTTGTACCCTTTCGAAAAAAAACATCAAAAACATTATGAGATGAATTAGGATGAAACCAATTTACAAACCTCCAGTAGTTCACGTATAGCTATAGCTGTTTTTAAACGCTGCTTGACATCCAGGTAAGAACTAGGCTCATCAAACATGTATATATCAGCTTTTTGAACACAAACCATTGCACAAGCAAATCTTTGAAGTTCACCACCAGATAAATCGCCTACCATACGTTCAGTGACTACTTGAAGGTCTAGGTTTTATAATATACTAGATTAGTCATCCGAAAGTAAGTTTTCTTACCAAGCATTTCCAAAACGTGATCTTGGTTGCCTCTATCATCCTTTCGATTAAGTAAGGTTTTAACCTCACCAGATACGATTTTAGGGATTTGATCAACATATTGTGGCTTAATAACAGCTCTCAAATTGTCCTCTAAGATTTTCGTGAAATAATTCTGTAGTTCCGAACCACGGAAATATGTTAATATTTCAGTCCAATCCGGTGGATTCTAAAGGGAAACAAAAAAAGACATAAATATTATATCCGAGTGAACGACGCATGTCAATGAGCATCATGGTGTTCACTTATAGCAACGCCAAATAGATGGATAAGATGACAGAAATTTAACGGATTTTTCATGATGTTTACATTTATGGCTTGACATTAAAACATAAACGGAAAATTATTTTTAAATAAAAATCAACACAAGTAAAATTATAGTTTACAGAATTTACTCTATCGGATTACAGTTCAATTTATTCACTTAAACATGTCTAAAAGTCCTGCAAAAGTTCCGTAAAATTGCAGTACACTCTTTGATTACTGAAAATAGACTAGTGCAAATAAAAACACCTATACACTATAATTATGGAGTAACATATAACAAATTCTAGGAAAGAATTCTTTATTATTCGAGGATCAACAGTGAAAGTGTGATAAAAGATAAGTTAAATAACATAAGACTCAGAAATAAAAGAATCAGTTGGTGTTGGTATTATTTATTTATATAAACAAATATTGGTAAAAGGGGGCACAGATATATATGCGCCGCACAAACCTCATTTGATTTGCGTGAGGGCTGTGATACTGCCAAGGTGCCTAAACTGAAGCTCATGTGCACCATTGGTTTGGAACCAGGGTTCCCCAACTCCCATAGGTGGATCCTCCGTACTAACCGACACAATTTCGTAAACAACACTACCGCCACGAGAAGGCAGTGAGTAGGACTTCCGTGGCAGTGGTTGTATGCACGTAACCATATGAGAGCATTTCGAGAGAGAGCTGACTCTCCTCACCAGTATGGCAACTTGGACCGATGCATATATGTGCCTGGTCCTACGTCGTAGTTGACTGACTGACTGACGACCGAACCAGGGCATTCGGGGGCGATGCACTCTAGTAAAGACACTTGAACTTAAAAAACGACTGAAATCGACAGTGAGGTTGAGTACTGATGGCTTGAATCGGTTTAAAAACTTTCCTCAATAAAATGTTAATTCGACGGGGTGCCAAGACGTCTTTACAACTTAGTTGCTTGGGAAGTGAACAGGCTCAATTGACCATGATCATGCAAGTAAGTAATGATAAAACCTTTATTTAACAGTTGCTTACAACTTCAATGGACAAACGAATTTATCAATGGGTAGTGATAAAGGTGGTCAATTAAATATCATTAATTAGTTAGAACTTTTATGGAGCCATCAGGGAATATAACAGAACTTTGTGCAGCAATCCTGTAGCAGTTTAACTTGGTACTATAAACTTTTAAGAACATAAACATGTAGTTGTGAAGTTTTACTGGAGTAAACTTCCAAATATTTGATCCATATATCCTATAACAAATAAGATCTTATGGTTCAGCTAGTTCGAGATTTGTCTTTTCTTAAAGAATGGCCTTTGTGATTTGGTAGCTTCTCGTTGAGATGTTAATTAGGATTGGGTGCAAAATTCTTCTTAACAAAACCAATTCACAGATTGGATACGTATAAATGTTTTTTCCAAGGATTATATAGAATTAGTTATGTTTGTTTGGCAATGCCGTAGATAAAATGGAGACTTACTCTGCAACGGAATGGCTAAGAAACGCTTCATATAAAAAGTTCACTCCTTTCAAAAATACATCTCAAAATAATTGTTATTGACCCTGTTAAGCAGATGAATACTTTCAGGGTCACTTGAGCATCGCCCAAAGGTACTCTATATATCATAGTGTCACAGAGAAATGTTTACAAATCACTGTATGTTAAAATGAGCATATGAACAGGAAGGATATAAGAATTATGAGTCATAGTGACTAGATTGTCAAAAAAAACCAACTAGCTTATAAGGTTATGCTAGAAATTTACATAGTGGATTATAATGCAAAGCATAGACGAAAAAAGCAATTTTTTCTAACGCGAGTGATGAATTGAACGATAAAGTTAATGCTTTGGTCGCTTTGTTCACTTACTAAGGCAGATTGATACCAAAAAACAAATTACAGACCAACTTTACGACGAAAAAACAGTAATGATGAAGTATAAAATACAGTTACGAACCTTGAACCGGCCAAGGTTGGGTTTAAGTTTGCCGGCAAGTATCTTTAAGGCACTGGACTTTCCGATACCATTGGTTCCAACCAATCCCAAAACTTCACCAGGGCGTGGCATAGGCAGACGATGTAACTTGAATGAGTTCGGACCATAACGATGGGTAACCTCTTTTTCCAAATTGCTAGGAAGATTTATAATAGAAATGGCTTCAAAGGGGCATTTTTTGCTACAAATACCGCACCCAATGCACAATTCTTCTGATAAAAATGCGATCTTGTCGTTCGGTGTTACCTCAATACACAGTTTGCCTTTAAGAATTACATTACCATAATAATCGTTTACCCATGCGCACAACAGGACATGATCTTTTACACTCTTGACGACACTTTTTCGGTTTGCATTTGTCACTGCTAACGATCGCTATGCGCGTCAGCTTTTCCTGAGTTGGGGGTTGTGTCATGCTTAGGACGTAAACACGCCCTTGAAGTATCTCAGTAATTCAAAATCCGCTGGTTAATTAAATGAGTCAAAAAATTCTGAACGGAATGGAAGAAACTTTTGCTTAGCTGGCTTCCGTATCTGGTAGCAGTGGATCATCGATACCTCTAGGCAGGAATCTAGGCATATTAACCATAAAATAGGTGAAAAAAACTACCCGAAAGACACTTGTACTCCAATGGGAAGAGGCTCAGTGGTTGAAGGAGCTCTTCATAAGGATTTAATTTGAGTCCCCGAACTGATTTCGTGACTCACTATTGAATACGTTCCACAGTGTCCTTATCCTTTTGGAGTGAGGAAGGAAATACTGTCTCTTTACTGTTAATGGGGACGAATAAAACCATTGAAGACCATTTGCAAAGTTCCTCCTTCAATCTGGCCAAAAATGCGCTTCAACGTTATGAGAACAGGGTTCACTTGAAAGGCATTTTGTCGCAGTTAGCGTGAGACTTTAAATATTAGGGTACCAACACTCCTAGATATTATTCAACTTGGGATACCTCCAGGGGGGAGTTGCCAGAGTTGTATCTGTAGTCTGCAACATGTTTCAAATGGACTACCTTACACTTTGAAGTGCCCAAGGTAAGTCTGTTGTCATCTGCCCAACTTTAAAGTGGAGTCTGATATTCTTGAAGTGCCAGTTTATCTCCTTGGTTGCATACTTCTCTACAGAGTTTCCGCGAAAAGTAATAAATCTGACGATTTTGCTGTGGAACATCGTTTATGTGAATCAAGTAAAGAAGAGGTCCTAGTACTGAACACTGAGGGGGCCCATTAGGACATTCCGTAGCCTGAGAGAAAGTGAAGTTAACCCTGACCTTAAAAGGTCGAATTTTTAGACATGAAGTTAGCCAATCAATTAAAGATGATTTGATACTTAATCTTTTGAGCTTGATGATAAGATATATATGGTTGACCCTGTCAAAAGCTTTTGAGAAGTCAAGGTACATGATGTCAACCTTCCCCTCGCGATCAAGAATGGTTGTTCATCTGTACCTCGCAGTCATCAGGTTGATTATACAAGAGTTACCTTTACTGACACAATGCTGTTAGGGTGAAGAGCAGTTTATGGACGGTAAGTAGTCATGCGGATAGTCGGATACCAGGAACTCCAGGGATGGAAACTTGTCTTCTCTCACTGCCCTGGCGCATACGTTCCTTATTTGTTGGAATCGCCGGTATGCTCTCTTGTTACTGGTTCATTTGTATTACGTCCAGTAGTGCCTTTCGCGACTTAGCAAATTAATGAAGATTGATGTACTTCCAAGCAAATTGCCCTCATTCCTGTTTTTCTGACTTTGCGAAATAAAGAAATTCCCGGTATTGCTAGCTCCTGGTTCGTAAACTGAGGCGATATCCATGTTTCAGATATTCCTACCTAAAAAGCAGCAGAAAGTATAGGATTATGTGTAGTTCACAAATATAGTACTGAGAACAGGATACTGATACAAAAATGGCTACACCTTAATTATGTCAAAGCTTTTGTAGCTCCTTTTTATATTTATAGATTTTAGAGGGACAATGAGCATTCTTCGGTTTCAGCGAATTGTCTAATTTTGCTGATAATAAGGTTACTAGGTGTAGAATCCAAACTAACTTTTGGACATAAGAATAACTGTCAAGGTAGTTAGGGCACACGCTAATGCCCAGTTGAAGCCAAAACAAGGTGATTAGACAAATGATGGTTCTCGATTTCATAAAAAAATACAAATGTAGAAAAATGTATACATGGAGGGATTTTCACACACAGAACCTTCAAAAAAAAACCTTACACTCGGTAGGATTTGAAATCAACTCAACGTCAAAAACATGAATTGAAGACGTATTTATATGCCTCTGATAATTTATTTTGCAGATTTGCATAAAGATCTTAATTCGCATCATAACCATTGGTTTGCAATATCTCATTTGACCATAAGGAGCCGTACTTAAACGACATACATTAGGTTCGAAATCGCTTCTTAGTATTCTGTACATCGAAAGCCGATCACCTCTTAATGTGTGGCAGAACAGAGTAAAGTGGTATAGCTTCTCAATCCGTTCCTTGTATGTTAAGCTCTGGAGTTCTGGGATTGCACGAGTAGCTGCTCTTTGTACTTTTCCAGGATATCCAAGCCACTCTCTTAATAGGGGCTTGCAGCCTGAACCCAATTTTCAAGTTTAGTTCTCACTAAGGTTGTGTATGCTCTGGGGAACATAGTAGCATCTAACTTGGTGAATATTCATGTTAAAGCCCATATGGCTCTAAACCCCTTAGCTGTGATCCCACATCAGTGGAGCGTGGTTGAAGATCATGCCTCACTGTCACCCGAAAGTCCTCATGAGACCGGACTCTGGACTCAGGCACTTCTCATGTGCTACACCTACTTACCTTTATACACTCAATGTGCGTGTAGGAAGAATTGGCAAGTTGATGAGTATCATTTATCTTTTGGACCGCCTAAGGAGAGCGTATAAGTCTGAGGGAAGCGCACATGCGTCCGTGTCTCCAGTTATTTCTCGTCTGATTTTTCTCACATAATCAGCGTATGGTTGTATCGGGGACACAACAATACTTGGAGGCTCATTTACATACAGTATAAAAAACAAATGACCTAGAACAGCCTAGCGGTATTCCACTAAGTGATGATTTCCGGGTGGAGCACTCGGAATTTGTCCCTACCTTCTGTATACGATCTACCAAGAAATTCTGAACGAGAGTAGTCTCTTCGGCTGCTTGATTACAGATTGGATTTTCTCTGAGCTGTCTGGATTGTAATTATACATTCATTTCGTACCGACCTGTGGCGTTTCATAGTACTTATTATTATTATTATTATTATTATTACTATTCACAAACACCTTATGTGTACATAAGTGCCGTGAAGTAATCATTTCGGGTTTCTTCAAAAATGCAATAATACACAATTTTTAATAATGTTAACATTACATATGTCATGTTTTGGAACGGAAGGAAAATAAAATATTAATAATAGAATAGTAATAATAAATCAAGTTCTGTGTAATTAGCAAGAATTTTGAATTGATTTTGAAGAAGGAAAGGAAGAAACTAAGGAAATAGAAATAAAGGAGAAGCGGAATATGTAAATATCTTAACGCAGAACAAGAATAAACAACTATGTATGCATAGCAAAACGAGTAGTAAAAATAAAATGAAACAGAGTAAATTAATAAGTAAATAACTTATTATTGCAGTAAGATATGACGTTAGAATAAGTGTTTGTTCGTGCAGACATAGTTTTGGGTAATGCTATGAAAGTCTCAATTAAGTGCAAAAGATAATCAATATGTATGAGGTGAATATACATAGTGAAGATAAAACGAGTCTGATAAGTTGAATTCAACCTAACTCAAGCTATTGTCTTAATCCAAAGCTTCGTAATCTTAAGAATATTATTTATTTGGAAGGAAAAAAAGGGAAAGAGAAAAGAAATGAACACATAGTGAAAGGGTCCAACCATGATCATAATAGTGTAATGGATAAAGACTTTTGAGATAAACGAATAATTTAATAATAATAACAATAATAAACCCTTACGGATAAATACGTGTAGATTTATGTAACAGTATACAGAGTGAGACCGTATATTAGTATAAACATTAGTGCAATAATAATAATTTAGAATGATGCTATCATGGTCATAATTAATTGCAAAGAATAATTAAATATAAACTTCTATATGTTATATATATGTTGTGAATATTTAAAAAAATTATTTCTTTAAGCGTAACATAGGGTTTTTTGTTTTTAATTGTAAACTTTGGATGTTTAGGAATAAAATATGTTTAGAAGGACAAGAAGAGATGGAAAGAATATCTAATGTGTCGAAAGACCAATAATGATATTAATAACAGTGATAATTATAAATACGAACATAAACAGACTTCACATATTAAGATGAATAAAAGTGAAATAGAATAGACATGAAAAGTTTCAAAGGTTTCAGTCAGTTAGATAGATGACGGACCTTTTTTGTATAAATCATTGTTAAGCACGTTAATATTCAATAGGTGACACAATCCACTTTCGGAAAGAAAATCATCAAGAAGACTTCGGAACCGGATTATAGTTTCACGGCATCGGAGGTTCATTGGTAGTCTATTCCACATGGTCGAGTAGCGAATAACGAAAAAATTCTGCCGTAAATTTGTGTGGGTTTTTGGAATCGCTAGAATATTTTCCTTATTGCGTAGATTGTGGGACGGTATCATAGAGTATGAAGGGGTAGATAGCGAAGAGTAAAAAATACCGTTAAGAAGCCGGTAGAGAAAGATAAGGTTTAATTTGATACGCCTGATCCAGATAGATTCTAGTTTGAGTTGTTGACATCTTTGGTGATAGTCTTTGTCGTCAGAATACCCCAAAACAGCTTTGGTGAACCTACTTTGAACACCTTCAATTTTAATCAGGTCATTATGCCTGCAATTACTATAAACTAAAATACCATATTCAAGAATTGATAAGATACATTTTCTGTATAATAATAATCTCGATTCAGTATTATTGAAATTAATCATTATGAATCCGATTAGCTTTCTAGCTTTGGATACTTGAGATGCAATGTGTTCAGAAAAGTTCAAACTGTCGATATATCTTAAACCCAAGTCACGAACAGTGTTGAGAGGTTTCAGTGTATGTTTGTGTATAGCCAGATTTAAGTTAAGGCAACGGCCAATGTTAATAAATCCACTTTTGTCAACATTAAGTGACAAATTCCACGAAATAGTCCATTCGTACAACTTGTTTATTTCCTCTTGGATTACCGTTGAAATATAGCTTTCTTTTGTGGGAGATGAGAATGAATAAACCACTTTTAGATCATCGGCAAAAAGAAAAGGTTTACCATATTGAAAGAGGGAGGCAACGTCATTGATAAAAAGGAGAAATAGTAATGGACCAATTACACTTCCTTGTATAACCCCACTGGTTACATTCACAGGTTTGGAGTAGCAAGATCCAAAGCGGACAATTTGGCTACGTTCTTCTAAAAATGACTTGAG